TCCCTGGAAGTGTCCAAGACTAGGTTGAGAAGGTCTTGGAGCACCCTGGGATAATGGAAGGTTTTCTGAAATTCATGGATGCTGACATCAGTTTTACATGGATTAATATCTCTGTGAAGACACCACTGAAGTGCCTGTGAGATCTTGCTGCTTTTTTAACAAAATTCACTGTTTCTCAGTTAAATTCACTTAAAAGAGTAAGAAATGAGCTGGACACAGGAAGCCTTGAAGCTCTGAAGGGGATTATGAAGTCCTAACCCTGTGATAGGATTTAAACCATGGCTAACCCTGTGGTAGGATTTAAGCCACACCATCATTTACCCTCCTAAAAGGAATATCAATTCCCTTGCAGCTCAGCACTGCCAGTGCTCCACATCAGGAAAAAAAATTAGGAAATAATAATAATATGGAATAATATTATTCAATAATATTACTCCAGTAATTATAATAGAAGTAATAATAACAGTAGTAAAAGTAGTAGTGATAATAATGATAATGACAACAATAACAATGATAACAACAACAACAATAGTAACAGTAATAATAGTGCTACTCCTTGGTCTCCAACGAAGGCACTTGGGAATGCCCACCTGGAATGGAAGCGACCAATGTCATCAATATTCCTGAAGATGGTGGATTTCTGACTGGCAACAGCTCCTGGCACACTGGGACAGGTCTCTGTGTACCTAAGGTGATGAGTCTGGAGGAACTGCAAATCCTGAATGTAATCTTCCTCTGAGATCAACAGCTCCTGAATAAGAACACTGAAGGAGAGACAGAGAGGCAGAACGAAATCACAGAAAAATCATCACAATTGTCCTTGAGAGGCTTTTAGGCTGTAAAGTAGGGATTTATGATCAGAGGAACTGACTCCTGGGGTGTGTTGAAAGATCCTCTCTGGGGATTGATGGATGCAGGTGATGCCTTAAGTTTTAGCTTTCATATTTTCCAGATTCTGTACTGCACTGGTGTATAACTCTGGACTTCAAATAAAGTGTTAGCAAGTTCTCTTCAGTTCAGTCACACAAAACAATCCTTTTCCAGCCCCAGAACCAAGGACACCATCGCAGCTTCAGGCCCAAAAAGTGTAAACAGCAAATTGAGGAGAGCAGACTGGGAGGATGGGGCTGCATAACCTGAAACTGTAATTAGACAATTAACCCCAATGTAATAAATGGACCAAAACTTATAAAATGTGAAAACTGATGACCTGGAGTCCATCTTAGATGGAGCCAGGCCAGGCTCTTGTACTGCCCAAGGTGTATCCTTTGAAGGCATTTTAATAAATATCTATTTTATTCCTTTAAGTCTGTCTAGCCTCTGTTCTAGGTAGCCTCTTAAGGCATCACATGGATGGATGGATGGATGGATGGATGGATGGATGGATGGATGGATGGATGGATGGATGGATGGATGGATGGATGGATGTGGCCAGTGGAAGGTGTCCCTTCCCATGGGACTCGCTGACACTAGATACTGTTTAAGGTCCCTTCCAACCCAAACCATTCTAGGATTCTGTGATCTCAATTGCCTGGAATTTTCCTAAGCTGAAATAAATCACAAAAGACAAGTGGCTCAAAAGGCAGGAAAATTCAAAGGTGGAAATATCAAGTGACACGAGCTCACCTTAGCTTCCTTTTGTATTCATCTTCAGAAACAAACTCTCCAGGAAACTCTGGAATTTCTGTTGCTCCCCATTCCGGAGACAACTATAATATTAGGAAAAAAAAGTTAAAATAATTCTTGGAAGTGGACAGTGCTTTTGTCTATACATACTCAGGAATATCTCTCATGTGTTCCCAGTCCTGATTACTTCAACAATTACTAAACCAGTGTGAAATTTCTTTTGTACTGGAGAGTTTTTAGTTCTTTCCAACCCATAAACCCCTGCACAGACCAGAAATATTGTCTAATAAAAACATGAAAAAGTACAACCTTGTTCCAGACCCCTTCAACAACCTCCTCTGCCATCACTCCTTGCAAAAGGGATGGCTCTAAACTGCAACAAGAACCAGAAATTTTAAATGAGAAATAACCAAACATGATCAGTCACCTTTAATTTCTTGTCCAGATAAGCTGGAGACACCCAACCCTGTCGAGAGGGACTCGATTTCGTGGGTTTAGTCCTGACCAGCCATTTCAGAGGATGAGCTGAATCCAGGACTTCCACATATTGTCCTTCCTTCAGGGTGATGGTCTCCTTGTCCGGTGCAGCAGGCACGTAGTCAGCAGTGACCATGTAGACATCAAAGATCTGCAGACATGAAACTACAGTCACTTTGTGCTCTGATTTCCCTCGTGGAAAACTTCCCAGCTGTGGGAATCCATAAAATCTGAGGGTTTTGGGAAAGCTGCAAAAGGCAGGCCTCAGAGACAGCAGAACTGTGATTAGAGCTAAGCAGCAGCCATGAGATTGGTCAGCCGAGAAATTATGTAAGAAGTAGAAAAGCAAGGACAAATAGAACAATGCTCTGGGTATTAAAGCTTGTCTAGAAAAACTCCCTAAGCTGCAGAAAAGTTTATCTAGTGAGATATTAGGAAGTTCTAAGCTTAATAATGGAGCTCTGTGCATTGTGTTTTACGGCTTACCAGCAGGTATTGTATTTGAAATAAGCAAGCATTGTTTAACCAAAGGTACCTGTGCTTACAGTGGTTGGATGGAACTACTGTCAATGTGCTTTTGCTTTGTGTGACTGGTCAAAAAAGTTTTAAAGTAAGTTATAACATTAAGTTCTTTGTCTGCTGCCTGGGATGTGAGCTGGTGGCATCTTCCCATTGTCATAACCATGGAACGAGACTGATGCTGGAAAATAAAACAGCTCAAGGCACGTTCCTACCAGTCCCATCCTGTTCATGATTTGTACACAGCCCCTGGCTGGAGATACCCAACAAGATTCCTCTGGCCAACTTTATCCAAGGCCACAGAAAATCAAGTTCTGACTTCCTGAAGTTCAGCTGTGAGAGCAAGAGGTGCCAAGTCATGTTTCGACCATTTTGACTTGAAACACTTGTTCAGCATCACAGGGTGAGCATCAGAATTTGATTCTCTGTGCTCTGTGTCACAGACACAACATTTAACTACTAAATACACCTACAAAACTGAGTTACATCACCAAAGAGGATGGAGATCCCTACACCACAGTAGGCTGGTCACTCTAAGTTGAGTTTTCTCCTTGTGTCCAACTTGCCCATAGAGATGTCATACCTCCCCTCTGGAATCTCCATCTTCAGATTCAGAGGAGGATTCCTGAGCAATGGATGAAGGTCTGGACCGTCCATGGCGAGGAGATGCAGAGGGAGTTCTTGACTCATCATCACTTTCTGCACCTGGTACTCGAAGTTTAGCTGAAAAACAGAGCAACAGCAAAGTGTTTAAGAAGTATCCCAAATTTAAACATCAACCAAATCTAGAATAATTTTTCTTCTTCCTAGGAAGAGCATTCACAGTAATATTTAGTGTGATTCCCTATTGATATTTAGGATTAAATGAATAATTTGGATGTTTTAATACATGGTGTTGCAGGTCTACTGCATGTATTGCTGCTGCACTACAAGAATGTTTGTTGGAGAGTTAATGCCTCTATTTTTGCTCCAAGTTAAATTTTTTTCTACAAGATAATCAGAACAGACACAAACCACAAATTTTCATCCAACTCAACAAATCATTGGATTACTGCACAGCTGTGCACAGTTTTCAGCCTTAATTTGATTTTAAAATTCCACCATGAACTAAAACTTGAAGATGTGGGAAGTACAGAAACCAGGATTGCTTTCTGATTTATGATTGATGAATATTTAAGGAACTCAAAATACCTAAGATATGCAAAGTACACTTATATTTTTACAATTTACTGTAATGGCTTTTTCCTAGTTCAAAATTCTAGACTGAGATATGCAGGTTGGATGGATTCCTACTTAAATTTCTTACCCCTAAGCATTGACAAATGTTCATTTTCTTATATAAAATGACTGTCTCAAAACCTGCTGCATAAATCTCACTTATAATTAAACAACACCTAAAAAAAAGAGAGCGATTGCTTTTTCTTTTTCTTGTACCATAATTAAACTGTGTTTTCCAGATTCCTTACCCTGAGTTATTTTTGCAGATACCATTTCTGAGATACGTGAGGTGAGTTTCTGGAAGAACTCTTCTGAGCCAACATCAGCTAATGAAATGGGAGTTTTGGGCACACCTTCTCTGCCAGCTTCAAGGTCTCCTGGAAAGAAAGAGAATTTGTTATTAAGCTGGCAGTGTCACTGAAAATTCATCTCTTTTTGAGTAATGAAAGCTTCTCTGGAAGGAAGGTTTAATTTTCTTCCCTTCTCCTGATTTTAAAACTGTCCTTGCTCTCAGTTCATCCAAATAATGCACCCTTGAACAGTGAGCAGTCCTGAAAGGTTCCAACATTTCAGACAATTTCAAGAAAAGTGGACAAAAATGAGTGGATACATGAAATACATTGACAGTCTCAGCTGTAGATATGGAGGACAGGAAGAAGAGAGAGAAAACAGCTTCTCTTACCTTCAGAGGACTGAATAGTTCTGAAAAAGAAAAGAAAGCAGAGTTAAATATTACAATAAAATGGACAGTAAGGGGAGCTAAATGAGGAACACGTCCCCCTTCTCCCACACCCAACTTACCCCAGCGTGGTCATGATGGCTTCTGACACCATCACACGCTCCTGGGTCAGGACTTCAGCCTCTTTCACTGCAAGATTGGGGTTGGTCATTAGAGGACAGAAGGCACAGAATGTCCTTTTTTAGCTGTTTAGTGCAGGCACATTTTCTAGACATGGAGCACTGCAGCAGCTCCTGAGCTGGGATATATATTCCCAGCCCTGTGGTGGCAATGGTTTCTCCCTCCTCTCCCTGTTCATGGAAAATATGTAATTGCCTCATTTCTCCACACTGCTCAGGTTATGTTCCTGCAGCTCTTGGTACAATAAAAATGTGGGATGCAAGGCAGGATAACGTAAAAATGGAATCCTTCACAGCTCTGCCCCAATTCCCAGTATATATTTGTTTTCACCCCATTTTATTGTGTTAAAAGAGACCTTGGAAAGCTCTACAAAAATCAAATAACTCTAATACAAAATATCTCAGCAGAGTGGAGCTCTCAAAATAATTTTTTAAATTATGACTTTTCCCAGTTACTTTACATTGCCTTTCATTTTTTTAAATTTGGACTTAATTTGGTTGTTCCTTAGACTTGCTTTCTATTTATACAGAAAAGGTGCTGCTGTTAATAAAAGACAGAGTAAGAAATCTAAAATATTATAGAAGTAAAGAATGTAACCATTTGCAAAGACAAGAAAAATCATGGCTGCTCTTGAGAAAATGCTTTTTTTGGGGGGTGTGATTGGATAATTTCCTTAACAGTCACACTTGGTTTTTTTTTTTTTTTTTTTTTTCTCTTAGGCCCTGCATAAAAGGGAAATACAGAGGAATTGTTTGTGTTGCAGCAAAGATTTACCATCTGCAACTTCCAGGTTGGCCGTGCAGATGGACTGGCCAGCCTGGTTGGTGGCAATGCAGGTGTAAGCTCCACTGTACTTCTTCTTGACGTCCAGCAGGATCAGGCTGTGGTGCATGTTGGAACTGGCCAGTTTGTACCCAGGAGTGTCTGGTTTGATCCACAGGATGTCCTCCCGAGACTCTTCCTTCATCCAAGTGATTGTTGGTGGTGGATGTCCTAAAGGGAAATTGGTGCAATAAGGTTTAATCTTCCTGTTTGTGTTCTTCCCTTAAAATGATGAGCCTTGCTGTGAAAAAAAAAATGCTGTTCTGATCCATTTTCGGATACTTTCCCAACAATAACAGGCATAATATGCAATAAAGGAGGATAAACCATTTTACAGCACGCTCATAAAGACATCAAATCTTTTTGAAAAACCAGAATTGTCAATCACTGTACAATTCATGGTCAACATGCATCATACTACAGTGTCATTATCCCCATTTTTTTCATAAAAAAAACTGGAGGTGAAGAAATATAAGGTGCTTTACTGTGAAGTGTCTTTGTAAAAATGTAAGATTGGAGTAGAATCCTAGATTTCAGACACAGGAAATGAGGTTACAGTGACTTGGGAGCAGAGAGAAAAGAATGTGTTGTGAAATTATTCATTTCAAGTGTTATTCAGAGAGATGAGGTATCTGCTCACTTACCTTCAACTTTCACAGATAATGTGATGCTTGCACCCTTTTTCACCTTCTTATTTGTAAATCTTTCAAGGAATCTTGGCGGTATCAGCTGCTCATGGGAATCTGGAAATAATATTATTGAAAAAGCACAGTGAGTTTAGACTGCAAAATTCCAAGGGCTTCTGTTCCCACCTGCTGTGGCTTCTCTCACCTGTTTTGGATGGCTCTTCTTTCTCATAAGGATCTGGAACACAAGGAGAAAAAAAAGAACATGACAAATATAAATAAGTGTTAATCCAGGAGTTGCAACAAAAAGCTCCCAAAGTGACGCCAGTGGAGATATTACACAGAAATATTGGTATGATTTATAAGAGCTTCTAAGTTTTGATGAAATTAACTTTTAAGGTTAATTAGAATGGACAAGAATAAAATAGCTGTTTATGAGACAGACAGACCACAGAGACGTGGCATCATCATCTTCTTAAACAGTAAATTTATAGGTGAATAAATAAAGAACCAAGAGCAAAGCACATCATCCTTTACCTACAGACTTCCCTACCCAACCTGAGTTACCTTGGGAGGTTTCCCCAGTAAAAAATAACTATTCAACATGGCAAGAACCTCTGAAACAGCCCAAAACAGAGCAGCACCCACCTTTGACTACCAGCCTGGCTGAGGAATAGGCAGAGCCAGCAGAGTTGATGACAAATATCAAATACTGGCCGGCGTCTGCTTTGGTGACGTCGCGGATTTCCAGGGAGTGGAATTCCTGCCTGTCGGTCTTGAGGATCCGGTCCGAGGCCTTTAGGGGCTGCCCATTTTTGAACCAATAGAGACGAGGCTGAGGGTACCCTGTGAGGAGCAGTTACAGACACAGAGAGCAAAATTCATTGGCAGTGCTGATTTGGGAGCATCTCCACAGTGCCAGATCCTCTGCTGTTTCAAGGGTTTAACAGGGCTCCTGTTTCAATGGCTTAACCAATTAGGAATGCTTAAAAAGGCATTAAATTCGATTTATCTGTTAAAATTCTTTCCTGTCTCTTCAGTTTCTGGCACTCCCCATGTTGTCTCTGCATGTGCAAACACCTTGGAGGTTGAAAAATCAACATTTAGGTCTGATTTGAAAGTTTCACAAGGAGAAATGTTGAAGCCAGATGTATTCTTATAATTTTTATAGACAGCAACAGGAGAAATTGGGAAAATCCCTACCTCTCGCTACCAGAGTCAACACCAGAGGGATGTTTTTTGCAGTTTTTACATTGTAGGAGCAACCCCTTAATGGAGGAAGGCAAATCCATGGCTGCTTAATTTATTGAAGAAAATGAAGGAGATTGACTTTATTTTTATTATTATTATTACATAATTATGATTAATACAAATACATTATACTAGATATAGTTATTTAGGTTATATAAATATAGGTAATATATAATGACAGTTACTAATAGTGATGATTGTAATAATGCCAAGATTATTACTCCTTACTGCTCCTGTGCTCAGAGAAATCCAGAATTCAGTTTTCAGAAGCATGTGCCTGTCATTATGCCTGGATATATGGACACAAAATGAGGCTTAATCTGCCTGAGTCTGCTCCAACAGTCCCTGTTCAACTGCAGGAACAATTTCCCCAGCTGGTTTGTGCAGAAATGGTGCAAGGTGCTCAGCCCAGGGTCACAGCTGCAGAAGAACACCTTGGAAACCATTATCCAGAACTTCAACCTGATATCAGACCTGGAAAATTGACATTACCGTGGGATCCACTCACCTTTCACCTTCAGGTGAAATTTAGCCAGCGATGCTCCAGGTGCCACATGAATATCATGGAGCTCATCAAAGATCTGGGGCAACTGCTCCTCCTCAGCCATGGATTCCTCCTGTTCTCGGCTAAGCAGCAATTGGGATTAGAAAGAAGAAAATCAGGACTCCAGGTAAGAGTTTGGAATCAGAATGACCTATTTCAGGTAAATTCAGTCTGTGGGTTTTGGCAGCCTGAGAACAGAATCAGCACCACCTGACATTAAAAGTAACAGAGTGATTCCTTGAGGAAATAGCCCGGCTTGCCTGAAGGCTCCAGAGCAATTCTGTCCATGATAAATGTGCAGCTGTTGCAGTTATTGCATCTCAGCTGAGCTGGATGCTCCTTTATGGCATTAAATTTGCTCAACACACCAAACCCAGCCCTGACATAAATACCCAGATTGATCTCACTGAGTCAGAGGTTAGAGCCAGCTTCAAATTTTACCTTGAAATATATTCCTTGGCACTGTAGTAAGATGAAGTCTCTGTTGCATCTGCTGCAGTCTCATAGTCCGTGCTGGTCACTGTTAAATGAAAGAAGATAGGTCTTGAATCATCTGAGCTTTGAAATTATTTTTCTTGCTTAAATAGCTCTTACTGATTTTAGTTCCCTTACTAATTGGAGTGATTGGCAGATGCAGTCCCTGGATTGTGGAAAACACCTCTCTTCACCCCAAAAGCTTTGCTCTGAACCTCGCCTTGGAGTTAGCAAAACCCAGCTAAACCCAAGAAGTTTGCAAGTGAAAATTTCCTGGCCAAAACATCTTCCTTTAAAATGTAAATGGTGTGGAGATTCTCAGTTCAATCAAAGAAAGAACAGAGATAATTTCTCCCAGGCTGAGCCTGAGGATCTTAGAGGAAATAATTAAAACAATTATTATCTCTCTTTCTGGAACCATTGTTTATGATTATGGTTCTTCACAGTGTGCTATTCATAGTCACCATTAGTGTGAGATGTTTCTACTTTGAGACCAATCAAGTATCAATTTAGCAAGTCACATTATAAAAGACCCACTACTTTCATTAAAGTTAACCTTCTAATCCACCTGAAGACAAGAGTCTTTCTTTCCTGCAGCCGTGATATTTTCTGAAAAATCCTTTCCTTAGGATTTTTTCCTCATGAGAAGCTGAGAAGCCTCAGAAACAAAATGTAAACAATAATTATCTGCTGTGGTGGAATGCAACAAGAGTATCTTTGATTGGTCTCATGTGGTTGTTTCTAATTAATGACCAATCACACTCCAGCTGTCTCCGACTCTCTGGTCAGTCACAAGATTTTATTATCATTCCACTCTATTCTTTTTCTATTCCTTGCTAGCCTTCTGATGAAATATTTTCTTCTATTCTTTTGGTATAGTTTTAATATATAATTTTCTTTTAATATAATATATATCCTAAAATACTAAATCAGCCTTCTGAAACATGGAGTCAAGATTCTCATCTCTTCCCTCATCCTGGGACCCCTATGAACACCACCACAATTGGTGACCCCAAGTGACGGAAAATTCCACAAAAAGCACCAAATGGTGCTTTCCTTGGGAAAAAATAAATTAACCAGGTCTCAGCAGAACTCCTTTGATCGTTTTTTCTACAGAGATTTTGAGACTTACAGTCCACACGGAGCTCAGCCTTGGTTGAGGCCACGCCCATGTTGTTCTCGGCGAGGCAGCGGTAGACGCCCATGTCCGTGGGCACCACGGCGGTGATGATCAGCTGGTGACACCCCTCCTGGTCCTCATTGATCATGTAGTGATCGTTTTCCTCAATAGCTTTGCCGTCCTTGAACCAGCGAACCGTGGGCAGGGGTTTGCCAATGACAATGCAGTCAAAGCTCACCGGGTACCCGTCCTGGACCTCTTGGTTTTGGAGCTCGGTCATGAACATGGGGGCTGAAGTTGGGGTGGTTGGAGAGAAGAAAGAAAACTTTGGTTTTACTTAAAGGTATATTTTAGGCCCCTGCTTCCCAGACTTCTGGTTTCCAGTTTTTTAATTGCAGAGTAATATTTTTTCTCTAGAAAAGAGTCAAGAAAATCCCTAGCATTACAAAGATATTTCATCAGCACAACAATACCACAGCTCCCAACAATATATCATCCCTCCTCCTATCCTTGCCAAAATTTCTTGTCTCCCTCAGAACCATTCTAAACCCTACATAATTAATTTAAGTACAATACTCATAGTATTTATGGTCATGTTGTAGTAGGTGACATTTCTAGCATGAAAAGGAGCTTCACAGGTAAGTCAATATGTTATAACCCCCCCACCAGTGTGCCCCCTCTCCCTCAAAATGAAAAAGAATTAAAAAGTCATTATTTTTAATAAAAGTGCAAAGTTTTCAGAAAATATCTGTACCAAATTAAAAAAAAATTGCCTGAGAGTGAAAAAATTACATTGTGACCTGTTCCCACTGTCTTTTTCAAGCAATAGGCAAGATTTTCTTCCCCTACCTGTGTCAGAAGTCAGCAAAGGTGGTGGAGGTCTCGCTGGAGGTGGAAACTTCCCAAGGGTGGGAGGTGATGCCTTCCCAATGCGCAATTCTATTTTTTTTGGGCCTTGTTCCAAGATGTCTATCTCCACTGGAATTCCCAGAGCGCCAAACATCTCTCTGAACCGTGTGGCAGCTGTCTTGGCCTCGGACATGACTTCAAACTTGATGTAGATGTACTGGTCATCCTCACGGTACGTCTGGTGGTCAACCACGTCTATGTCCCCTTCATCTGCGCTGACAAAGAGCTCTTCCTCCACGTCAGAGATCTCTGTGGAGATCTTGGCCCTGAAGAGCCTGTGGAGTCTCCTTCCTGCTTTTCGGAAAGCGTCGTCCAGTTCGCTGCCGGACGAGCTCTCCGTCTCGCTGTCGGTGCTCTGCTTACTCCTCTTCTCCTTGGCAAGAGCTTGAGCTTCCTGAGCGCCAACCACCACCTTGGCGCTGTGTGAGACCTTGCCAAACTTATTGGATGCCTCACAGGTGTATTTACCTGCATCCTTCCTGTCCAGGCCGGCGATGATCAGGGAGCAGGTGCCGTCGCTGTAGCTGTCGATGTGGTAGTAGCGACCATCCGAGAGCTCCTTGCCGTCCTTCAGCCAGCGGACGTTCATGTCGGTTTTGCTGTGGGCCACACACTCCAGGTGCAGGGTGCTTCCAGGCTCTCCAGAGAAGTCTTTGAAGGTCTCTGTGAACACCGGGCACTCTTGCTGCTTGATCTCTTTCCTGACTTTGTAGCCTTTGAAAGCGGCTTGGATCTTCACAGCCGCCTTGTTCATGGAGGGGTCGTCTAAATCTGGCAGCTCTGGTTCGGCTGGCGGAGCAGCTGTGGTGGCCACAGTGGTCTCCACGGTGGTTGTCTCCCACTGCTTCCATAGTTTTCCTGTGGAGGTGGACTGAACCTTGCTGGTAATGCTGGTGCTCTTCTTCCCAGCTTTCTTGAGGTAGTTCACCAGGGAAGGGGTGCCAGCTCTAGACTCATCATCAGAGCTTGTGAAAGAGAAATCTGCCTCTCCCGTCCTGGCCAGCTCGTCACACGTGGAGTACTCCTCCGAGTAGTAGTGAGACATCTCTGCTTCCTCCTTCCTCAGCTTCTGAAGCTTCTCCTCCTCCTCGGGCACCTCGCTGATGGAATCCAAGGTGGGCTCCCGGCTCATCCGGCGCTTCTTGGCCAGGGCTTCCCACAGGAGGTGCAGATCTCCCTCCTGGGCAGCTTCGGGGGGCAGGCTGGGCTGGATGTGTCCATCCACCTGCTCCTCAGCCCGGCTGGCAGGGGGAGCTTCCCTGGCAATCTCCTTCAGCATCGACACTGTGGGAACTGCAGGGAGTGAAATAGATGAGAAGTTAAAATCTGTGAGCTTTGAAAAAGCACATGGAGATGTTCTACTCTGGAGAGTCTCAGAGGCATTTTAACTAAGCATCATATTGAGAAAAACATGGGAATTTACAGAATCACAGGATGGGGAAGGTTGGAAGGGACTGCTGGATATCATTTAAGTCCAACCTCCCTGCTCACACACTGTCCCCTAGATCACATTATTCAGTGTCCAGATGGATTTTGAGTATGTCCAGAGAAAGAGACTTCACACCCTCTCTGGGAAGTTGATATAACTGAATCTGGTCCTGGTGAACTTGTCCTAGCTGACCACACTTTGAGGAGGAGGATGAACCACACCATCTTCAGGAAGTCTGTCCAACCTCAACAATCCTGTGATTCCATGCATGCACTTAAACATTACCAAACAACTTTTAAAATAAATTATTTATTCCTTGCACATTTGAACCCAATAAATCAATTTATGCCCTTTTTAATGTTGCAGTTGTTAAGACTGCCAGTGGAGCCTGGAAAGCTAGCCAGGCTCATCCAGTCTCCCAGATATACAGGGCTTCTCTGTCTGTCCTGAACAGCTCTCCAGTGGCTGTGCTGGGAGCTGAGACTCCCATCTCACATGGACACACATGCTTGGTGGGATGTGCCTAAGTCTGAAGGTGTCTGGGACACATTCATGTGCCTCTGCATTTTGCCCAGTCCCTTTTGAGATGCTCCAGGTCATCTGGAACATCCACAGAATACCCTAAAGCATCTCAAAAGGCACCAAAAATTTGTGTAGAGACAATAATGTCATGCCTTAAATGTGTGTCTCCAGAAACTCTAATCTGAGCAACTCAAAAGTATTTGGGATGCAGGAACATACTGGGCAATGCCAAACAGGAAAATAACAATTCCTTGTGGATTGTTATCATAGCTTGTAAAAGAAAATTAATTCCAGTCCCAGCTGTGGAGATGGCCCTGGATGTCCATGCCAGACCTGATTTAACAGCCCAGAAATGCACTTTGTACCTTCAAGACACAGGCTGGCAACAGATTTGACTTCTGGAGAAGCCATGCAGGTGTAGCTGTCCTGATCCTCGGGTTTAAATCCACGGATAATGAGTATCTGCTTCGTTCCTTCAGAAAGGATTTCATATCTCCCTCCAGCTTTTATTTGCTCTTTTCCCTTGAACCAAGTCACTTTCTCCTCAGTTTTATCTGATAATGAGCACTCCAGGCGAGCCACCCCCCCTTCCGAGACAGATCCTCCCACCAAGGGTTGGGTGATGGTAACTGGAGGCTCTGCAATTACAGAAATAAAGTGAATTAACACAAAGAACAATCATCTGGCTTTAGGGCACTCCACTCCATAAAATATCCAAGCAACCCATCCATCATTTACAGATTTTTCAGCTGTTGTAGACAACTAAAGGAAAAAAAAAGTCTGGCAGCATCCAAAGTATGCATTTCCAAAGATAATATCAAAACAACTTTCCAAGCTCTCCCAGTGCTTAAACCAGCTCCATCTAAACATATACATGCAGAAGTGGTTGCATTTTCCACATTCCTGTGTGCGTTTGCTGGTCTTCATTTACCCATCATCAGTACAAAAGAAGTTCTACAGATTTTTAAATCTTAAATGTTTCAAAGTGAAGAAGTTGTGATGCGAGACAAAGAAGAAACAATAAATAGAATGAAAAGAGATTATTCAAAGCGGCATTCATCTCTGCCTTGAAATAAAAAGAAAAATATAGATATATATTTATGCTATCTTAGGAAGAGTGAAAATTATCAAAAAGCATAGATAATTTAAAACAAAAAATTCTCAGCATTTTCTTTACTTTGGAAGGAGGTCTACCAATGGACCTGTTTGTAGAACCATGATCCCTCAGAGAAAAACACAGAGATGCTGACTAGGATGTAAACGATGATTCTGGGTTCCCAAAAGCAGCACATCCCTCAAAGTTACCTTCCTCTCTGTGCATTTCACCAGGGTGAGAGGATTGCTGCCCAAAATGCCTTGGGCTTGTTGTTGACAAAGTCAGCATGGTGAAAGTCATCAGGGTCCAGCACTGGCAGCAGTCATTGTTGCAAAAAATGCAACAGAGCATTTTAAGCAAAAGAGTACTTTTTTATCATTATACTCATTTTGAGGAATTTAGATGAGTGATACCAAAGAAAGAGTTGCAAGAAAAGAAAGACTGACAGTTCCCATTCCACTGAAGCTTCCAAAGTTTCACCATCAGACAGCAAAGGAACTTTGTCCCCCAGCATTTCTTTGTGGGGATTCTTGAAAAAGACGCATAAAAAAAAAAAAAGGAGAAAGATGGGTGAAGAAGACAATATTGCCCACTCATGGTCATGGTTATCCCAAACACATTCCAGCATGCCCTTTTTCACTCATTCCGTCCTAACTCCACCAGAAAAGACACTCACGGCCAGCACATGGTCTGCAAGAACCCCATGGTGAGGGGCCAGCACGTGGATGATGCAGTGCAGGCTGCAAGACAGCTGGATGCAGTGTGGAGGACATCAAAGAACAGTGCTAAAAACGCAGCGGGTTTTGTTCACAGCAGCCCAGAACGACCTTTTTCATCCCAAGCTCTTCCTCCTCTATTGTCTTGGCAGCCAAGCACTGAAAGATACTGCACTGGGAGATGCCTGGAATGGGTGAGGCAAGCATGCCATGCAAAATGTGGGGTCTGCAGGAGCTTGCAGCCCTCCCTGAGCCTGCGTCCATCCTCACCTAACCGCACCGTCTGGGGGAAGTGCAGCGCCTCGCTGGCCCCCGCTTTGTTCACGGCCGACACTCGGAATCGGTAGGGCTCCCCCGGGCTGAGGCCATCCACGGTGAGCTGCGTGTTTGGGATGAGCTCCCTGCTGCAGGACTGCCAGCCAACTCCTGGGATTTTCCTCTCCACCCTGTAGCCCAGGATGGGCTGGCCGCCGTCACCCAGCGGCCTGTGCCAGGACAGGGTGACCGAGTGGCTGCTCTGGCTCAGGACCTCTGGCGCTTCGGGCGGCTCGGGGAGGGCTGGGGGCACAACAGAGGTGCTGTGATGTGTGATGTGAGCAGGGACCTCCATCCTAAAATACCCAAGAGTGTAGGAATGTGCCCCTTGTTGGCAGAGTGACCAAACTATTCTTTGTCCCCTCAAAAAGGAAATAAGCCCAGAAGTTTATGTCCTTGATTAGGTGAAAAAGGCATCTCATAGGCTTGGGCAATTTCACCTAAAACTTAAGGATAGCTAATTAGACAGGAGCCAAAAAGTCCCACCTGAGCAATTTACAAGAAAAAGAAGAGAACAAAGAAACAAATCGCTTTTTTGAGGTGTTTTACCAGGAGCAAGAACCTCTGGCACCTGGATCGGTTTTTCTCTGTAAAGAGTTTTGTTATTTTGCTTTTTATTAAAACCTTTTGGTTTCCAACACTGCAACAGAAGCCATCCTGCTGATTTTATGCCTTCTAAGGCAGCTGAGCTATCTAGGATGTGAAATAGACCTCCAAGAGCTTATGAGACCTGGCTCGAGGAGGCTCCTATTTCACAAGAGCCTTCTGCAAGCTGTGAGGACAGAAGCGCAATTGTCACAGAAATCTTTTATGAAAAATCCTTTCCTTAGGATTTTTTCTCCTGAGAAGCTGAAAAATGTCAAGAACAAAATGTAAACAATGGTTATCTGCTTCCATAGAATGAAGCAAGTAGATCTGTGATTGGTCTCATATCATTGTTCCTAATTAATGGCCAATCACAGTCAACTGGCTCGGACTCTGTCTGAGCCACAAACCTTTGCTATCATTCTTTCCTATTCTATTATTTGCTAGCCTTCTGATGAAGTCCTTTCTTCTATTCTTTTGGTATAGTTTTAATTTAATATATATAATAAAATAATAAATCAAACCTTCTAAAACATAGATCAAATCCTCATCTCTTCCCTCATCCTAAGACCCCTGTGAACACGGTCACACGCAATGGACTGAGTAGTCTCCTTGTTGTAAAGCTGAGTGTAAAGTCACCATAAAGTCACAACCATGAGCACCTGTGCACCACTGATTAATCCTTGTCTGCCCTGATCTATGCTGCCAATGACAAACATTCATTTTCCAACTCTCATCTCAAATAATTAACCTCTTGTGTATATATAATTAACCTCTTTGTCCCACCCAGCTTAGAATAAAGATAACCCTACACAGTCCATATTAGCAAGGAATTTAACTGAAAATTTCAAGCACATGAAATGAGCCTTGACTGTGTTTATTTTAGGTCAGGTCTTAATTGAAATCAGGTTATTGTGGGACTAAATAATAACTCAAATATTTTAATAATGAGTCACTCCACTTCTGTGTAATTGCAGTGTTGCAATGTGTCACAGCATCAGGAAATAACAAATAAATATGTGTTGGGAATGATCTGGTGTCCTGCTGCCCATGATCACAGAATGGTTTGGGTTGGGACCTTGAAGATCATCTAATCCCAATCCTTACACTCAGTGCACTGGAAAATGTTCCTTGCTTACATTACACTTTGGCCTAAAAGACAGAAATAATTCTTTCAGTCTTGAGTTCAAGACATTTACGATGTAAATGACCTGCCATGATATGCCAATCCAAAGAATTAAAGGCAAATATGGTCAACAGCCTGTTCTTTTAACTCTGGACACCACAAGAACAACATAAACTCTTTTCTCTGTTGTCAGCCAAACTGCATAGAGAAAAATCTGTCAACAGGAAAAGTATTGTATTCTTATTTAGAAGTCCATTAAATGTAAGTACAAAAAACTGATTTAAATCCATCAAACTTTTTTTTTAAATTGGGGAACTGGAATGTGTAACAGAGATCCCTTAAGTCTCAGAAATCATTAGACAGAGATTGCCTGTAGCCATTTAAAGTATAGATGGTCCATCAGTGACTCTTGAACATCTCAGCTACAGCTAAAATACATTTAATTATCTCATAACCATCACTGGGATGGTGCTGTGTGACCACTGCTGGGTCACCCACTGGTCCCACTGCAGGAAGGAGCCAGATGCTGCGTGCTGAATGGACACTGATGGCATCATCCAAACTGCTCCATGAGGGAATTAGGGAATTGTCATCTTCCCTACTTAACTATTCACTCTGGCTCTCTGGAGCAGGAGGTGTGTTCTTTGTGGATGTCCCCCTCTTGAGGGTTTTAACATGCTACTCGTTAATCTGGAAAACTGCTTGCCCTGCACCTGAGCTGATAAGCAGATTTCAAAGATTCCTCTGCTGCTCTGGATGATTTTTCCACATGGACTCTACCGCAGCTCCCTCCCATGTCCACATTTGTCAAGTGAAGAATACTGATTTTTGTTAGAGTTTATGTTACATTTTACAAAAGACTGCAGCTAAAGAAAGTTGGGGAGCATCTCTACCATCACTAGCCTGATATACTTTTCTTCTGATGAGGTGGATCTGGTCAAAGAACAAGTTCCTAGTAGTATCTTCTCAGCCTAAGAACACTATTTTGGTACATGTGAGGCAAAGTGGAAAGGATCAGCACAAAGATTGGGAAATTCAATGCTGAATATCAAAATTAGAGATTTTGAGTGCCCCTGGGCTGGAACAACACACACTTACCAATCACAGAAAGCTTGGCTGATGAAATGGCCTCCCTGGAAGCAAAGGTCACCTCTCCAGAGTGATGCAGTTGGGCTTTTTTCAGGATAAGTTTGTATTTGTTTCCATCTGCTTGCACCTCCCAGTCCTCCCCAGCCTGGATCTCAGTGTCATTGCTGTACCAGACCACTTCATTCACTGGCACAGCTTCACTCAGGACACAGCTAAATGTTGCTTTTTCCCCCAGAGACACCTCCACGTCCGTGAGGGGCTGCAGGAACTGCAGGCGCCACCCTGTAGGTTAAAATCAGTGATCAAGCCCTCAGTTACAAAAACAATCAGGAGATTTTGTGAATGTTTGTGCTGAAGCTCTGAACAGCCAGGCCTTGGAGAGCAAGGAGATCATTAGAAGGTTTATATACATTGCCAGAACAGAAGGTTTGGAATCACAGAATGGTTTAGTTTGGAAGGTAAAGCTCATCTTGTTGCATCCCCTGCCTTGGGCAGGGACACCTTCCACCAGACCAGGTTGCTCCAAACCCCATCTAATCCATAAGTGGGGACTGATCTCTGCTTTTGTACTCTTATTTTCATGTACAGAAAGGGTTTGTGGTTCCCACTAGGGTCTCCTGTAATAGCATAAAGTAAAAGGAGACAGAGATAAAGTTGTTGCTGATAAAACCCTCCTTTCTCAAGCCCTGAAGTGTCTATAAACCAACCAAACTCATCAGAGTCATGACAGCTCTGAGAAAATAATTTACTCCTTACTCAGTGCCAACTGGTGCTGCTTATAAACCATCTCACATACTAAAGATTAAGAAAACAAGGACATTGTAAAGCATCATCCATTTAGGGGTGAGAGAATTGAATTTGTTTCAGATGTTTTTTTTCAGGGAAAATAAAGGGGTTGGGGATGATCTAATTTGTGCCAACCAGTATGTGAAGGCGCCCAACAAGAAAGATGGAGAGGATGTTTTGCAAGAGCATGGAGTGACAGGACAAGGAGGAATGGATTCAGATGGACAGAAAATAGGTTTACATGAGATTTTAGGAAGAAATTCTTTGCTGTGAGGATGGAGAGGCCCTGGCACAGGGTGCCCAGAGAAGCTGTGGCTGCCCCTGGATCCCTGGAAGTGCCCAAGGGCAGGTTGGACAGGGCTGGGAGCAACCTGGGACAGTGGAAGGTGTCCCTGCTGGATGATCTTTAAGGTCCCCTCCAACCCAATCTATTCTATGATTCTGTGGGTTAGTGGTGAGCTTGATGATCCTAGAGGTCTTTCCCAACTGGAATGATTCTATTGTTATTTATTGTGCGGGAAGAACATTTAGGTAAGAGAAACAACAAATGCAACATTTCTTTTCCAGATAAATGAGTAGCAAAGAAATATTGAATTTGTTGTTTCTCTTGCCTAAATGTTCTACTCATCATATTTTCCTGGTTTCTTTCCCCCTTTCCAAGCAGAAATTGAAGATTTCCCCTGCCCAAGCACCCGAGTTACCTTTCACTGTGAGGAAGGCTGAGGTCACTGCATCGCTGCACATGAAAGTCACCCTGCAGCTGTCCTGGGGAGTTAAATTCTTCAGCAGCAGGATGTGCCTGAGGCCATTTTCAAAGTAAACCATCTCCGTGTTTTCTGTGGTCTTGGCAGGTTCATCATCAATCAGCCAGTTGTAATTGTAGGTCTCAGGCTTGGAGAGGTAACACTCGAACAGGGCTTCCCCTCCTTCCACAGCCTCCACGTTCTCCAGGCCCTGGACAATGCTGTTCTTGGCTAGAAAAGAAGGAAAGTTAACATTAGTAATTATTTGGCTCTATATCTCTGAATATTAGCAAGCCTGGGAGCACTGGATGATTCCCACTGCTGCAAAGCTGATGGAAAAACGTGGTTGTGATAAACTGTGCCCATAGGTTTAATTGTTGATGGCAACCTGTCCCCTAACAAAGTATTACAATAAAAAGATTTAAAGATAATGTAAAAGTAATGATAAACCTCTAGAACCTCCAGCACTTCATCTAGAACCTCTAGCATTTCACCCAGATTTCATCCAAAAACCTGGTTTTAGATAAATAAAGAAAAAAATGGTCATGTTTGTATGAATTGGGCCAATAGTCAATAGGAAGGCATAGCTTAGGAAGATAAAGTGCAATCAAATTCCTTTTTTCTTATGACAGTTTCCCAAAGATCTCCCAAACAACACAATTATCATCATGACAGGGGAGATATGAATACACTGACAGCTCATGATAAAATCTCATTACTTTTCTTGCAAAGCAAATGTAAGAGAATATCATGGCTGGCAAAGCTATAGTGACGATTATCCAAGATAATTCTGCCTCTAGGAAACACACAAAGTCAAAACCTCTATCAAGATTACTTTGAATGGTAAATTTCTGAATTGTCATAAAAGCTCTGTGACATTTAGGTTTATTTTCCCATGCTCTGTAGTGAGTTGTGGGGTCAGAAACAAAAAGCTCCACACTCCAGCCATGCATCAGTTGGCACCTGGACAGAAACAATTAGCTCAATGCCAAATTAAATGTGCGCTGGTGCATGTGAGTATAATTCATGCTGCTACAGGGACAAATGACATGCACAAGGGTTGAGTAAATACAGTTTTCACAAATGCCATAAAATGGTCAGCATGATTTGTGTTATAAACCAAGACCCCAAGACATCCCCGTCTAGATCTCTACAGATCATTTGGAACCATGCACAGCAAAAAATAAAAAATCAGTAAAATAAATAAAATATTAAAAAACATCCAAACTGAGGCATTTATTTAATGGTAAAAACAAACATACCCAAAAAGCACAAGCCACCAGATATTTATTAACTTATTACTAATTACAAGGTGCTCAGAGATGTTGTGTGTGGAGTCCCCATCCCTGGCAGTGCCCAAGGCCAGGTTGGATGGGACTTGGAGCAATCTGGGACAGTGGAAGGTGTCCCTGCCATGGCCGGGGGTTTGGAACTACATGACCTTTAAGGTCTTTTCCAACCCAAACTACTCTGGGCTTCTATAATACTAAAAATATTCTGAATTTTATAAATTTTATACTTACGGAGAACCATTAGGGGGTTGCAGACTATTCTTGGAGAATGTGTAATTTCTGTTAGAACAACACAAATTGTTTATCTGTGTACTTTAGAAGCACTGGTTTCCATAATTATGGAAAGCAGCCAATTGCTAACCCTACCTCCTCTGGGATACTTTTTGATTATGTTCATTTAAATCTTTTTAAATCCCTACAATGGAAAGTGCTAATCAATGTAGAAAACATTATAATAAATTACACCCTGTACTTCTGCACTAACAACCAACTGCAGTTAAGCAAGAAGGCAAAATAGCCACAAATATTCAGAAATCAGAACCTGCTGTTGCTGATCACTCCAATTCACTTGGTAACCAAACCCAGGAATTCCACATGGAGCAGGAAAAAAAAAATCCATGAAAAATCCTAACTTTTTGTTAATTTTGTATATATTGTTCCTCAGGGTCTCCAGAAATATGAGTGCTGAGTGAGGAGGTAACTCCTGAGGGAACACTGTTTGAAATGGGTAAATTACCTATTTAATTTAGGTAAATTACCTATTTGATGAACTAGGTGAATTGCCTATTTAAATTACCTAAAGCTCCTTTGCCGAGCAAAATAAAATGGAATTCCATGCTATCCATTAGTTACTGGTTTTATGTAAAAAGTACTCTTTAACAGGAAAGCAATATTTGTATTATTCCTTTAGATCAACAATACATCTGTGATTTTACAATTCAGCAGGACACAACCCATCCCAGCTCACTGCAGAAGAGGTGGAGTGGCTAAGTGGTAAAATGAGTGAGTGTTAATTAGAAATCAGATAATCCTGCAGTATAACATTCAATTCCCATTATCCCCAACTGTTTTTATCCTCATTTCCAGTACTGGAGTGAACACCAAGAGCAGGTATCTGACGTGTCCCTTATTGCAAAAGCCTTGCCATGATTTTTCTACCTCATTTATTTGGAACCCATGATAGTCTTCCTCTCTGGCTGGAAGACCTCACCTTGAACATCAAGTGTAGCCATCACTTTAATGCCTTCAGCTTCACAAGAATAGATGCCAGTGTCTTCTGGGACCGTGGGGTTAATTTTTAGCATGCTCACATTCCAGTCCTGATCGATAATCACTCGCTGCCCATCTGCATGTATTTCCTGATCATTTTTCTTCCAGATGGCGTGCACTGGCCTAGAATATTGGCATATGAACTCTGCTGGGCCTTCTTCATCAACAGTTATGTCCTGCATGGGACTGACCACTTCAATGGTGGGATCTGTTAACCAACACGTCAGGAAGGACATGCATTAGTGGATCCCCGTGGAAATCACCCCTGGGAGGGTTTTTTGCCAAGCACAGAGCCCGTGGGGAGCAAGCAGAGTGGCAGTGCAAGCAGGGGGATTAGCAGTTTAGTGTGTGCCTGTGGCCGCATCAAGCAGGATGGAAGCCAGGCTGGTGCATTAGAACGTGACCAGGACACTGGGAAATGGGCCACCAGGAATTGAGGCTTGTGCTGGAACAGTCCTGAATTTGGGCTGCTTCTCCAATTTTGTGTTTCTCCAATTTAGTGTTTCTGAGATCTTCCAGGCTGGGAAGCACTGGGTGGGAAACACTTCTGCTTCCCAAATGTGGAGCAGATGTGTGATGCAGAGATCTGCAGGGAATGGTTCCCTGCAACTCTCAACCTTACAGAGCAAGAGGAAAATACCACAAACCCTACTGGAAGCTTCTTGTGTGACCAAAATATAACTAATCAGAAAGAGACTCAGTCCTTAAATGCAGACACTCATTCCTGTCCTGGGGTGGTCTTGGCTGTCTTGAGCAAATATCCAGGACAGCTGTGACCAAAAAAAGGGCACTCCCCAGGAGCAGATGAATATTGTTTTGACTATTTGTGTGTTTCTCTGCAGTAGACACATTATTTAGAGAAAAACAATACGATTTCCTTTACAGTATTTCATCTAGAGGTCACTGAGAGATCATAAACCACTGACATCTCAGACTGAGAGCGCATAAAATGCTGACAGCAGCTGGATATGCAGCTCCTCTGAAGGCATTGAGATCCATAAAGTTGCTTTTAAGCACTTTTAAAACCCAAGTTCTGCCTCTTGTGAGGCAGCTGCAAGGCACAGTAGATATATCTGACCTAAAATACTGTGAGCTCCCAAAGCAGCCATGGGTCCCTCCTGAGATGTCAGACTGGATGATCCATCTACAATGCAATATGCAGGTCAAAAGGAAAAATCTCAATGCAATCTGAAAATGGAAATCTCTGAAACATCATTCTTAGCAGAATTATGTCAGCTTAAAATAAAAATATATGATAGGTCTGCAAAGGGACATAAAAAGATGAGAGTCAGAGAAAGGCTGAGATATCAGGAGCTTGACATGATGATCCTTGAGGAACCTTTCCAGCTCAGGACTTTCTGTGATTCTGTGATGTCCTTATTCTTCAAATAGTTGCTCTGCACAAAAGCCAGCTGGGATAACCCAACAGGATCTCTGTCTGGAATGCTCCTCTTGGGACTGCTGCAGCAGGCTGAGGCTTTGGGGTGCTCCAGGCAGACCTTGGGGAGCAAAGAGAGCTTTGCAAACATCATTTGGAAACCTGCTGCAAGGCTTGGTTCTGCTCACTGAGGTTCCCTCTGTCAGGTGTGTTTAGGGAGAGGAGGTCTCTGTGGAAGACCTTGGAGAAGTTCAGTGACTGAAGAAACAAGCAGGTGTCTGTGCAGATGGGGGAACAACCTCAGCCCCTTCCACAAGATGTAGAAATGTCAAATATCACCTGTGGTACTGGAGAAGGTCCTGGTTCCACTGTCCCCTTGCTGTTTCGGCTGTTATTGTCATATTTTATGAAAAATCCCTTTGCTAAGATTTTTCTCCTGAGAAGCTGAGAAGCCTCAGAAACAAAATGCAAATGATAATTATTTGATTGCTTAAAATGTGATTTAGAAGTTGCTTACCAACAGGTGCATCTTTGATTAGTTCCATGGGAATTGTTTTTAATTAATGACCAATCCCAGTCCAACTCTGTCAGGACTCTGGTCAGTCATGAGTTTTTTATTGTAATTCCTTTCTAGCCTTCTGATGCCTCCTTTCGCTTTCTTTAGTGTAGTTTTAGCACAGTATTCTTTTAATATAATAAATATCATAATATAACAAATCAACCTTCTGAAAACTTGGAGTCAATTCTCATCTCTCACATCATCCTGGAAACCCTCAACAATTAATAACCACAGTTATTAATTATAAATAACCACAGTTGGCCAGGGCAAGGACTTTGGTGGTCCCGTTCACCTCTTTGGGGCTGAGGAGCCAACGTGTGCCCTGGAACCTGCAATTCTCACCTGCCCAGAGGAGCTAGGAAACAGCAGCAGCTCCTTCACCCTTCTCCATCCTGCCCCCATCACCTGTGAACCATCACTCCAGGTCATGGAATGAATGCAGTTGGAGGGCAGTGATGCTGTGGAGGCCCAGCATGGAAAGCTGAGATTTCACTTGTTACAGAATAAATCAAATTACCAACGTTAATTGTTGGTAATTAAAACGTTGCAGAATAAATCAAATTAGCAACGTTTACTCCTTAAACCAGGAGAATGAGGCACAAGGAACAAAGCCAGCTCGCTCCTTGATGAAGAGCAAGCCATGGATGGCTTGACAGACTGAAATATATTTCAAACAAAGATTTATGCTTAAATTTGTGGACAAAATAAAGTGCACGAGATTGTCAATACAAGGATGGTTGGAATTTTAAAAGTGTTTCACTTTCCTATGAAATCAAGTGTTACTGAGCACAGTGTAACTGGGGTTATCCCAGCCCAGTTATAAAATAGTGCTAGTGTGATTCAGGTTTGCAATTCGGGAATCTTGGCTTCATGGAAGCACAAAACATCCACATACATGTGTGTACCTGCAAGAGCTGAGGGGTTGGACTGGATGATCTCCACACATTTCTTCCAAAATCAGTGATGCTGTGATTCCATGAAATGGAAATATCTCAGGAGCCTGTTCATTCACTGAGCAGAATACCTAACAATGTATTTATTTTTAAATTATGTTTTAGGCCCACTAGATATTTTTTTGCTTGGAGATCTCAGAACCATGTTTTGTTTCTGAAAATGGATGCAAACTGTCACAGGACTTGTGGGATCTGCCCTCTGTTTTGTCACTGCATCATTCTATACCATGAAGAAGTGATTTCACATTTTATCTTTGCAGAGAACCAAATTTCCTGAATGCACAAGGGACACATGATGCAGAGAAGGAGACATCAACCACTGACTATCATTCCACATTGTGGATCATTCCTATTATGGCCCAGTTATAATACAGGAGTAGATTTGCATAAAGATATTTTTAACCTTTATATATCCATTTTCCAAGCAGGGAATAAGGCTTAACTTTGCCTGAAAAACAACAGATCTTCCCCACAGCTATAAAAGGACTGGGTGGGAAGGAGCTTGCTTTATCAAGTCTGGAGCTCAGTGTTATTTGCAGCTTTTGGCTACCCTTACCAAATAGAAAAAAATATTTATTTGACAGACCAGAAAGCTTTGCTAGTACAATGATGAGCTTTCAGAAACAAGGCACATTTTGTCTCTGTGTTACTGGAATGCCACACACCCATTGGATTCCAGGAACAGCTCACAATCCTGTCCTGGGAACATGCTGAGCTCAGCACCAGTAGCCCAGCTGTCGAGCAGCACAGTGGGAAATTTGGGAATTACCATCCCCGCAAGATTTTGTGGTATTTTGGAAAAAAAAGCTGAAGTGGGGATATAAAGTCAGGTGCTACCACAGATGTTTATGTTCATCTCTTCTTTGATGTCAGGTGAAAGCAGCAGCCTTGATCCTGCAACCCTCCCTCACCTATAAAAACCAAAAAACACCAGAGGGTGAGGGGGGAAAAAAAAAAATTCAGTGTGGTTGTAGCCAGAAAAATTCTGGGGTGAGAGTGGGTGACTTGCAGAGTGGGAGGGTTGCAGGGCACGTGAAGGGATTTAGTAAGGGTAGCCTGGAAGGCAGAAGCACCAGCACATGGAGCAAGTCCAGAGGTGGCCACGTGTTTCTTGCTCACGGGGCGATACCTTTGACCAATAATTTAGCTGTGGATATAAGGGAGCCAGCTCTGAAGGTGACAGTGCCCGAGTCGTGGCACGCCACGTCGTTTAGGGTCAGAGTGTGGATCCTGCCGTCCTGCTGGGTGATCTCAGTGACCAGGTTGTTGTGCAGGGGGGTCCCGTCCAGCCACCACTGCACGCTCCTCACGCCCGGCGGCGAGAGCTCGCACGTGAACGTGGCTGACTCGCCCACAAAGACGTCTGTGCTCCTCAGACCAGACACTATCACTGCTGCTTCTTCTGCGCGACAGAGCAAGAGAGGGTGCCAGAGGAAAAACAGAAACAAATACACACGGCTTGCTCCCTAACTCGCTTCCTAACGCGCTCCCTAACTCGCTTCCTTGCAGAACGAACCCAAGCCCAAGCGCAGCTCCAGCAGAGTTAAACTTGTAGGGTTTTTCCAAGGAAAAAAGGAACTAAAATTGTCTTGAAGAGGGTCAGAAACCACCTTGCATCCCTCCAGCTGCTTGTAGGAGAGTTAAACTTGTAGGGGAGTTAAACTTGTAGGGCTTTTCCAAGGAGAAAAAAAGAACTAAAAATGTTGTGAAGAGGGTTAGAAACCACCTTGCATCCCTCCAGCTGCTTGTAGGAGAGTTAAACTTGTCTTGAAGACAAGAAAACAAAAACAAACGTGCACAGCTCGCTCCCTGCAGAGCTAACTAACCCAAGCCCAAGCACAGGTCCAGCAGAGTTAAATTTGTAGGGTTTTTCCAAGGGAAAAAGGAACTAAAAATGTCTTGAAGAGGGTTAGAAACCACCTTGCATCCCTCCAGCTGCTTGTAGGAGAGTTAAACTTGTAGGGCTTTTCCAAGGGGAAAAAAAAGAACTAAAAATGTCGTGAAGAGAGCTAGAAACAACCTTCCATCCCTCCAGCAGCTTGTAAGAGAATAAATTTGTAGGGCTTTTCCAAGGGAAAAAAATAACTAAAATTGTATTGAAGACTGTTAGAAACCACCTTCCGTCCCCCTCCAGCTATACTTGTAGGAGAGTTGAACTTGTAGGGCTTTTCCAAGGGAAAAAAAGAACTAAAATTGTCTTGAAGACAAGAAAACAAAAACAAACGCACACGGCTCGGTCTCTGCAGAGCTAACCCAAGACCAAGCACAGCTCAAGCAGAGTTAAACTTGTAGGGCTTTTCCAAGGGAAAAAAAGAACTAAAATTGTCTTGAAGACAAGAAAACAAAAATAAACGCGCACGGCTCACTCCCTGCAGAGCTAACCCAAGCCCAAGTGCAGCTCCAGAAGGGTTAAATTTGTAGGGCTTTTCCAAGGGAAAAAAAGGAACTAAAATTGTCTTGAAGAGGGTTAGAAACCACCTTCCATCCCTCCAGCAGCTTGTAGGAGCAGGGTGTGTGTCTGCAAACATCATTTCACTGGGAGGAAACGAGGAAACTCCACTCCTTTCCCTGGCTCTCCTGTGTGTTGCAACCATCTGCAGAAATTGTGTGAGTCAGGGAGGTACTTAAAGATTTAAATGTTCTCTTGGGTGCTTTAAAGGAGTAATAAGATTATCAACAATGATAGAAGGTGCAATCAGTTGTAATAAGAATTTCAGTATTTTTACAACAACTGCTCCCAGTTTTTCAGCAGTACAACCATCTGTTCTGAGACACAGTACGGTCAGTACTTTAAACCAGCTTAAGTTAAAAAGATGTGTCAAACCTCAGCCTGGAGGTGAGTGTTTATATCTTTGCTGGAATCAGGAAAGAAATGAGTGGCCTTTCTGCTGTTTGGCCAGTTACTGTCAAAGATTTTGGAGCAAGAAATCCAGGCAGAAAACCAGAGCATTTCCAGCGCGTTCCACCACCTTACCTTGCACATACACAGACCCTGTGGTGATCTCGTATCCAGTGCTGCAGGTATAATCCCCACAGTCATCAGCTTCTACACCGTGGATGATCAGCTCAGCCACGCTGCCCTTCAGCTTCAGCTCGTACTTGTCACTGGGCTGAATGACCACCCCTCCTTTCCTCCACTCAATGGGAGCATCAGGCTTGGAGATCTCACAGTGCAAAACTGCCGTTCCCCCTTCTTCAGCCTCTACGTTTTTCAGCTCTTTGTTAAACAGCACTGGCAGTACTGTGGTGGAGAAGCAACTGCATCAGTGACAGCGCTCAGAGGTGACAAACCTGCTTGTGACTTCTGCAGCTGGGCTGCTCTATTCTTTCTGGACAACAGTTTTGCCTGCTAGCCACTCATGGAATCAGCTGCTGATGCTGCAAAGGTGTCCACTGTTGCTCTGGGCCTCTAAAGGTCTTCACATGGCCATACTCACCATCTTCAGTGGAAGCACACACAGCACAACACCACCAATCAACAACTCTTTAGGTTGGAAAAGACCTTAAGATCAAGTCCAGCCATTAACCCAGCACAGCCAAATCAGTGGAAGCACATAGAGCACAACACCAACAATCACAACACAGAGTCAGAACCCTTTAGGTTGGAAAAGACCTTTTAAGATCAAGACCCAGCACAGCCAAATCCACCACTAAACCACATCCCCAAGTGTCACATCTACACATCTCTTGAATATCTCCAGGGATGGTGACTCCACTGCTTCTCTGGGCAGCCTGTGACAATACTTGGCCACCCTTCCAGCGAAGAATTATTTCTTAATATCAAATGTAAACCCACCCTGGTACAACTTGAGGCCATTTCCTCTCATCCTATTGCTTGTCATTTGTGAAGCAGACCAACCTTTACATCACCACAACCTCCTGTTGGTAGTTGCAGAGAGTGATAACATCTCCCCCAAGCCTCCCTTTCTCCAGGTTAAAAAACCCCAATTCCCTCAGCTGGTGCATGAGATTCTGGGTGTTTAACCTCTGAAACCACATGCTCTGAGCAGGAGTTTGTTATGGCGACTAAACTCACAATCTACAAGTGTGATCTAATCCAAAAGACATGGAATTCTTAGCACAGAATGAATAAAACTAAAATCACAAACCCATGGAGTGCAAAATTAATAAAACTGTAAAATCCCAAGCCATAGAGTTCTTAGTGCAAAATAAAACTGTAAAATCCAAACCCATAGAGTTTTTAGTGCGAAATTAATATAACTGTAAAATCCAAACCCATAGAGTTCTTAGTACAAAATAAAACTGTAAAATCCAAACCAAAAGAATTCTTAATACAAAATGAATAAAACTATAAAATCCAAAAACACAGACACTAAGAAAGACAAAGAATCACAATTCATGGGCTGCTCAGACACCAAGACATACAATGGTTCAAAAACCCCAATTCCCTCAGCTGGCACATGAGATTTTGAGTGTTTAACCTCTGAAACCACATGCTCTGAGGAGGTGTTTGTGACTAAACCCACAATCTATGAGCGTGATCTAATCTAAAGGACACAGAATTAGCACAAAATGAACAAAATTGTAAGACAACCTACCTTTGACCTGCAGATAAGCCGTGGTCTGCTGATCCCCCGAGTCACAGGTGTACTCCCCAGCATCCTGAGCCTCGGCCTCGTAGATGAGGAGCTCAGCTCGCGTCCCCTCCTGGCGCATCTGGTACTTGTCGCCGGGCTGCAGCACCGTGTCCCCTTTGCGCCACTGCAGGCGCGCGTGGGGCCGCGTCAGCTCGCAGCGCAGCGCGGCCGTGCGCCCTTCCTCCACCTCCTCGTTCCTCAGCCACTGCTGGAACAGCACGGGCACGCCTGGCCGGGGGGAAATGAGAAATGGGTGAGGCAAAAATGAATAGAAAAGAGAGGTCTGTTTTATTGTTAAGGTGTGGGTAGAGGGAGTTGTGAAGTTCGCGGACAATTCTGGTTGCGTTTCCCTAAGGAGAGCGTCCAGGGTGCGAAACCTAGATAGAGAAGGAGGAGGAAAGGGAGTTAATCAGCATAATAAAAATTAATCAGAATAATCTATGTGAGCTAAATTTCTCTCCCCATATCCCAAGCTTCTTTTCACAAAGATTTCAAAGTTCAGTAGTTATTACTGAAGGCCAGACAGCTTTCCATCCTTGAAATGAAAAATGGGTGAGGCAAAAATAGAAATAGGTGTTTTATTGTTAAGGGGAGGATAGAGGTAGTCATGAAGTTCATGGACAATTCTGGTTGGGTTTCCCTAAGGAGAGTGTCCAGGGATGCCAAACCTAGATAGAGGAGGAGGAGGAAAGGGAGTTAATCAGCTTAATAATAATTAAACAGAATAATCTGTCACTATAGGACACGAAACAGCACAAGCATACACACCGCTGCTCTCAAGGTGAAGAAAAGGGAAGTTTAATTTCTGACTCCAACATTTATAGTTTTCCAAAAGTGACAGTGAATTGGAGGGTGACAGTGCCACCTCTCCAACGACACCGGACAAACCAACAGTCCATCAAGTTTCTCCTCCTCCATAAAAGAATGCAGAACAATAAGTTATTTGCATAAAGCGCGTGAGAAAGTTTGTTAAAACAATGTAAATGTCAGAAGGCTTAGAAAAACTTAAAAAAACAGGGTGACAATAATCTATGTGAGCTAAATTTCTCTCCCCATATCCCAGGCTTCTTTTCACATAGAATTCAATGTTCAGTAGTTATTACTGAAGGCAGACAGCTTTCCATCCTTGAAATAAAATCGTAAAATGGGATAAAATCACTCAAAAAAATGTACAAATATAAAAAATAAAAATATTTTTAAATAGACAAAAATATAAAATATACATACATGTATATATAGAATATATATTTATATATATTAGAATATATAGAACATATCAGAAATTTAGACTATATTGAATATAATAGAATATATAGAATATGTAGACTAGTATAATAGAATATAATATAAAAATAAGAATTATATATATAATATATTATATATATATATTAATACAGACAATAATATACGTAGATTATATTAGAGTATTAGAATATATAAATCTGGGGTTACAATCCAAGATTTCAGATCTTGCCACCAGAGATCAATTACAGAATAATTAAGGAAAACTTTGGGAAGACCTCATGGATGGAGATTCCTCCACTCTTCTGGATTTCAGTTCTAAAGTCTGACCACCCTTTCATGTTAAAAGTCTGGCTTTTTCTAATCTGAATTTCTCTCACTGCAGCTTGCACTTGTTGCCTGTCATCTCTTTACTTAGCCCTCCAGGAAAGTTCTGTGCCTGTCTCTTTTGTAGATCTCCACTAAGGAAGCTGCAGAGGGCATCAAGGTCTCCCTTCCACTTTTTCTTTCCCAGTTATCAAACACAGCTGCCTTTGTTTCTGCTTACACTTAGATCCCAGAATGGTTTAAATTAGAAGGTACTTTCATATTTTTCCAAATCCTGCCAACATCAGGGACAACCTCCACTATCCCAGACTGCTCTAAATGCAATCCAGCCTGGCCTTGGACACTTCCTGGGATCCAGGGGCAGTCACAGCTTCTCTGGGCAGCCTGTGCCAGGGCCTCACCATCCACATTGTAAAAAAAAAAATAAAATCTTTCTTATACCCAATCTAAACCATCCTCCTTTTGGTTTAAAACCATCACCCCTTGTCCTATCACAACAGGGTTTGTACATGTCCTTCATGTGCTCCAACCCTCTGGCAGCCTCGATGGATTCTGCTGCACTTGCTCCACTGATCAGTGCCTCTCTTGAAGCAGAGAGCTCTAAAAATCAATCTTCCCTCCTCTCAGCCGTGCTGGGCACAGAGGAACCCTACCTTTGACCTCCAGCCTGGCTGTGGTCTTGCCATCAGCTGTGTGGCAGCTGTACTCCCCGGCGTCGGCGCGGTTCAGGTCGCGGATGAGCAGCGTGTGCACCTTCCCCTCCTGCTGGATGCTGCACTTGTGGCTGGGCTGGATCACAGACGTGCCCTTCTTCCACTCCACGGGGACGTCAGGCTGGGACAGCTCGCAGGACAGGTGGGCAGTGCCACCCTCCTGCAGCTCCAGGTTGTGCAGAGCCTTCACAAAGGTGACCGGGGCAGCTGTGGGGAGAGGGGACCAGTGCTGCTGCAGCATCCTCAGCCAGCATCACCCCCAGGGCAGAGATGGGGGTCTGTGGTTACATTTGGAACCAGGTCGAAGAGGAACAAGCAGCACAAGGCATTGCAGTGGGCCATCATTCAAAAATCCTTCTATATATCTTAAAGGAAAGGTTTTTCATAGCTTTCAGACTTTTTTTGGTAAATGTGATCTGAAAGCATCATAAGTAGGAGATTAGTCCGGAGTATATTCGTGACACTCTTCAGCATTGATTGTGACGTGCGATCAGCTGCATAGTTGGATGGTCTTCAAAGGATGTTAATGTTAATTTTTATATTAAATAACATCAAAGGATGTTAATATTAATTATTACATCAAATAACATCAAAGGATGTTAATCTTCACTCCACGTACAATAAAAACAACTGGAACGACTGGCTCAGATGTGCCTCTCTAAATTGCTAAATTAGATTAGCAGAATCTCCCAAGATTTCCAAGGCTCCCTAATCCCAAAGATACCTCTCCAGAAGTCCAAGCAGTGCCTGCCAGTACTTGCTGAACCCCTCTTCCTGGTAGGCTGCTCACCTTCCACCTTCAGCTGCGCTGCTGACGAATGCTGCCCCACTTTGAAACTGACGGACCCACAGTCCTCCAGGGTCACCTTCCTCAAGGTCAAGCTGTGACGTGTCCCTTGCACTCTGATCTCATTCATTTCATTGGATTGCAGGGGAACATCCCCCAGGAACCACTGGGCATCCTGAGCTGCTTCCCGGGACAGCCTGCACTCGAACACCGCGTCCTCTCCTTCATGTGTGGCCACGTCCCTCAGCCCCTCCACGATGGTGGCTGCTGCTGCTTCTTCATGGAAAGGACAACAGAGTTTGAGATCTGCTTTCAAGGGATGCTTCCTGGGTTAAATGTGTCGTTAGGCTCTTTCTTGACAGCACTGTGTTGTTGTTATTTAAGGCCCTAAATGATAAATCTGGAGGTGTTCAGCTTGGAAGAGAAGGATTATGAGTGCTTATAAAAAAAGAGAATGACGGAGTTTTTATAGGAGTAGATAGTGACAGATAAAAGGAGAATGGTTTCAAACTGAAAGAGGACAGGGTTAGCTTAGATGTTAGAAAGAAATTGTTCTCTGTGAGGATGGTGAGGCCCTGGAACAAGTTGCCCAGAGAAGCTGGGGCTGCCCCTGGATCCCTGGAAGTGTCCAAGGCCAGGCGGGACAGGGCTTGGAGCAACCTGGGACAGTGGAAGGTTGGAACTAAATTATCTTGAAGAGCTCTTCCAACCCAAACCATTCTGTGATTCTAAACTCAGGAAAATATAGGTACACAGGCACGCAGCAACATATTACAATGCTACAGGTGCATAATTCATGTCTGCATGTGTATTAAAAGCTTGCAAGTTTTACTGTGTGTTGCGTGCACAATAAATATTTCATATGTGTATAATCATAACCTGCGTGCTGTGAAGAAATTGTCAAACAATTCCCATGGGTGAAAATTAATTATCATTAAACCACAGAAGCAGTGACCAAAGGCACATTTCTAGAGGTAACTGACACAGTTCTTAGCCCTGTGAAACCCCTCTCATCTCTGAGATCCTCATTTCAGGATGAGGTTTAGCTGCCAAATTAGTCAATGTTGTACCTCTGCCGTGGTGCCAAGTTGTGCCCAGCCCTTCCCCATGCAAAGCCCCACCTTTCAGCTGCACAGCAGCCGTGGTTTGCTGGTCCCCTGTGTCACAGGTGTAGTCCCCAGCATCAGCTTGGCTCAGGTTGTGGATGGTGAGCTCAGCCACGGCCCCGTCCTGGCGCATCCTGTACTTGTCGCTGGCTCGCAGCACTGTGCCCCCCTTCTTCCACTGCACAGGGGTGCTGGGGTTGGACACCTCGCAGCTCAGGGTGACACTGCCACCCTCCTCAGCTTGCTGGTTCTGGAGGGGTTGGGTGAAGGTGACTGGAGAAGCTAAATCAAGAAAAGTCAGAGAGGGAAAAAATTCATGCGTCATTGCTGACCGCATAACTAAGCCTTGTGCTTGATGAAACTCTGGTGCCGCCCTAAATTTGGTTCAAACTCAATTCCAAAGTTAGCTTGAAAGAAAAACAAAGAATGACAGAAGGTGCTGTGTGGGAAATGGATTTGTAGAAAGTGCTCAAAGCCTGACAGAAGGCCCGCATAGTGTGTGCGTCTGTATGCAAACTTAAGAGACAAGAAATGCTGACTTAGAAATGCCATGGAATAGGACAGATATTGTTGAGAGAGAAATGGAGCTAGAGAAAAGTTTCAAAATTTGCCTTGCAAATAAGACAAAACACTTTTTAGGAATAGAACTATGAAAGATGCATTGTAGTGGGACCTATGAGAGCTAATTTTAGATGATTGGCTTTAAGGCATTTTCAGCATGGTGGGGCTAAAGCTGATAGGCCAAGAAACAATATCAGAAGCCAACTATTTCCTAATTACACTACAATAGTGTATTGTAATTAGGAAATAGTTGGCTTCTGATTGTGATGGCGTGAATTATAACATCTGTATTGTCTCACTCGTCTCATGAGTCTGAAAATGGAATAAAAGTTTTTAAAACGCCTTTAATACAAGGGTATTGCCCAACAGTGCGGGATTTCCAGGAGCTCTAAGCACTCTGCACTCCTAAAGAATCACTGGACACTGCCTACAGTGCTCATACACTGAGCACCTCAAGGATTGTGCTCCTTCTTGCACAGGAATTGTCATGGATACAGAGTTTTGAGCATCTCAGTAAATGTATCTCCAAATGGGTACCAAAACCAGACCTCAACAGCATACTGCTGGTATCCAAATTCTTGTGAATTTGGGAGAGGGCATGGAGAAACATCTTTCTATAATATTCTTTATTTGAACCTTTCTCTGGACCAGCAGAGAAAGGAACCCTGGCAGTCTCTGTTCTGATGGTGGGTCAAGGTGAAGTTTTGATGGGTGGATTTATGAAGTGCCACATATAAAAACATGTAAAAGTTTAGCTCCTCAAGTCCAGTTCCCTGGAAGAACCACAGTGCCTTCACACTTACTGGTGTCTATATATATATATATATACACACATATATATATGTGTGTGTATGTGTATACATATATATATATATATATATGTATGTATGTATGTATGTATGTATTTTTTTTTTTTCATCCAGTTGGCTGAATTGCTATTTACAGTGTGGCTGCACAGGCTTCCTTGGCTTCCTGGGTTTGGAATTTTTTTCAAGGAGTGCTGGAGTGGCTGAGACCATACACAGAGACACAAATTGGCCATCAGAGGACCTGCTTACAGCGCCAATATTCTGGTATCCTTGAGCCGTGGAGTCAGTGTGACTGCAGGCAGGTGCACACCCTTCATGGGAGAGCCCTCAGGAATATTTGAAAAGGTGGGATTTAACAATATCCTGGCTCATCTTTGTTTTTCCTGATTGTGTGTCTCAGAAAAAGTGACCTTGGTATTGTATTTGTATCAGATGAGATTTAAAAGGAACCAGAGATATATCACATTATAGCTATTTTAAAGATCTTTGTCACTAGAAGTGTTTAGGTGCCTTGCTCATTAGCTGGAGTTATGTCCAAGTTTGACCAAATTCACCCGGATTACCATTTTTCCAGGCAGAACTGCAGCTCAGAGGATGATCAAGCATTAAAAATAGTCCTCTTTTAATTTTAGCTCCAGCGGTGGTTGTCTAAGTGACCAGAGAAAGGTCTCAAAATGAGGAAGTAATTCCCATACTTGGGTCCCTGCATTTTCCTTGCTTAAGACACAACAGGATTTCCAAAAGCAAAAGCACTCAGCTGCTTTTGACAGTACATCTGAAATCAAGGACAGTAGAAAAAATCGTCTTGGCAGAGCCTAACTAAGGGAGTAGAGCAAGTTTCTTATCTTACAAAACCTCCAACACAACCCACCTTTAACAGTCAAAGCGGCTGTTTGTTCATTTCTGTTATCACAGGTGTATTTGCCAGAACCTCCTAGTTTTATGTGATAAATCTTTAAAGTATGGACTGATTTATCAGTCCTCCTATCTGATTTCGTACTTGGAGCTTGGGGAGATCACCTGAGGGCCCTTTTCCCATTCCACCTCAGCACTGGGCTGGGAGAGCTGGCAGCAGAGGACAGCTGTGTCCTCCTCCTGCACCTCCCTGCTCTGCAGTTTCTCCTTAAAGACTGGAGGTGGCACTGAAATTACAAATAAAGCAAAGCAAAGAATTTGCTTCTTTGCTTTGTTTTGTTTGCTTTGTTTTCCAGGCACCTTTGTCTTGGTGTTAAAGCTGCAGCTGAATGGTTGCGTATTAAAAAAATCCTCTGACTTCTGTTATTTACTGAGGGGTTAAAAGAAGCTTCTGAGAGGGAAGGAGAAGGATTTTAGATGGAGAATTTAACGAAAATAATG